TATAGGCAAGAAAGGAAGTATAGTTATAGTAGAGAAAACATGGCATTTTAGAGTCACCTGGACCCAGTGCCCGGTCTGAGCTGTGGAATCTTAAGCCAGTTCCCTCACCTCCATGGACTTCTGTTGCAAACTTATTTTTAAACTCTGGAAGAATAGCACCCCCCATAGGTGTATTTCAGAGGGCCAGGCATAGTGGCAGGCACATAATAGATGCTCAGAAAAACATAAAGTCCTTTCTGTTTTCCATCTCTCCCTCCCTCTTTCCGTTCCCTTTCCACACGAAGAATGACACAACGCACGATTCTATGTACGTAAATCTTTTTTTAAGCTTCTTTACTTATTTTGAGACAGAGAGAGAGAGCATGTGCACACAGGCACATGAGTGGGGGAGGGGCAGAGAGCGAATGTCAAGCAGGATCTGTGCTGTCAGCTCGGAACCGACCCAGGGCTTGATCTCATGAACCATGAGATCACGACCTGAGCCAAAATCAAGAGTTGGACGGCTTAACCAACTGCACCGCCCAAGTGCCCCAATAGGTATGGGAATCTTCATGGGACAGTTCGTGTTCAGTCTTTGTTTCTACAGAGACCCCAAAAAGATAGGTGCTAACCACTGCAGCTTGGGAAAGTGAGGTGCTGCCTTGCTGCCTTACCCAGCCAGAACTTGTAAACCTGGTATTTAGAACCAGTTTTGTTACTTTAATCCAGATCCCATCTCGAGGGTGTCAACTATGTGCAGCTGGAGATTAGGCGAGATTTCTCTGGGGGTTATTTATCGATGTGCTGTGAACGTCCCGGATGGGAAGTCTGGCACTGGTTCCATGCACATGGTGTCTGATGTATGATGCTTCAAAGATGATCTGGAAACAAGTGTGTGGCTGAACCGGCCCCTGGCTGCGGGGAGAAGTGTGTTTGGGAAGTGACTGTGCGCCATCTAGTGGCGAATTAAAGGTGAGCGTTTTCCGTGGGTCAGATGGGCGCCGTTCTGGAGAACCGGGGCGCTGGGGTTAAGTCCTTCCTGTAGGACAAGGAGACCTGGAGGCGTCAGGAGATCTCAGCAGAGGAGACTGGGACTGTTCCCCCAGAATCAGAGACGCAGAGGAGGTATTTTTGCTTAAATCTCAGAGAACCACTGATGAGAGATGCCCACTGAGACCAGGAGGGCTCTGAAAGACCCACAAATAACCCCACAAAATGGGTGAGCGGGCGGTGTGGGGTAGGGGAGTGGAGGAGAATAAAAGTCCCTCCATATTGCACCCCATGGGTTCTGCTTCTTCAATGTCATGACTTAAAAAACAACTGTGTGTAAAGGGAGGGTCATTAAAATTTTCCAGAAAAAAATCAGATTCTGGGAAACCATTTTTATAATTTCTGCATGTAAAGCCTATTCAACACCCCCTGAACCATGTAGAAGCCATTTTTTCACTTTTTTGCACACAGATTCACGGGTCCTCTTCCTTGCTCAGAAGGAAACAGCTCAAGAGTTTCCTTCTAATTACAACATTATTATTATATGTTCACTGTAAAAAAAAATATTACCAAGTACAGAAAAGTTTTAATTTTTTTTTTAACGTCTATTTATTTTTGAGACAGAGAGAGACAGAGCATGAACGGGGGAGGGTCAGAGAGAGAGAATCCCAAGCAGGCTCCAAGCTGACAGCACAGAGCCAGACGCGGGACTCGATCTCACAGACTATAAGATAATGACCTGAGCCAAAATCAAGAGTCAGATGCTCAACCAACTGAGCCCCCCGGGCACCTCTCACATTTTCTTTGTCATCTGCTCATCCATCGATGGACATCTAGGTTGCCTCCATGCCTTGGCTATTGTAAGCAATGCTACAATGACCACAGGAATGCATATAGCTTTTCCCATTATTGTTCTCGCTTCCTCTGAGAGAACACCCAGAAGTGGATTTTCTGGATCATATGGTAGTTCTATTTTTACTTTTTTTGAGGAGCCTCCACCCTGCTTTCCATCGTGGCTACACCACACTACTTCCTTTTCTTAGGTTTGCAAATGGACTTTTTAACAACCCGTTACATAATGTTACCAGGATTTGAGCATAAGCACATTGGTTTTACATTTCTGGAATCTTTCTCTTCTTAAAGAAAAACTGAGAGTACTTGCCTCTGTTGGGTGCTTTTTGAACCTCTCTGATCATTCAGAGATTCTTATTATGTATGTGGCAATATGCCAGTAAATTCTTGTAGGACCCTGGTGTGTTACGTATCATGGCTTTGTCATGAGAACTTCAAGTGTGGCTTTCTGAGATCCGTGTTCATCTGGCTATTAATTTCCTTTAATAGAAAAGGACATTTCTATTAAACATTTCCTTTCATTCTCCTAGGTAAAGACATAAGACATTTCATCCATAGCTTCCTTGTTTATTCAAATTTGTATTTAGGTGTGAATATGTTATATATTATGTGATATGTTATATATCATATTGTTGGCATATACATAAAGTTATTGAAAATACATATATTGGTGTCTGTCCTCGGTTCCTGGCACAGGAATCTTTGTGGTTTCTGAAGTGATAAGAGCACTGGGATCTTGTTCTGATATTTGGTCTTTGAACCCATCCCTGACACAAGGCTCCTTAAACCCTTGGAAATTCCTAAGGGATTCCTAGGTGACAATCCTGATCCTCAAGGAGCATCTTTTGTTCTGTTGAGGTGGCTGAAGGTGGGCTCCTGGTTGGGGGTGGGGGTCACCAGGAAAACCAAACCATGTTTAAAGGCTTGGAGTCCTCAGCCCCCCGCCCATCCTCCAGAGAGCAGAGAGGGGCTGGAAATGGAGTTAATTATTGATCATGCCCTACATGAGGATGCCTCCATAAAACTCCAGTAATAATTTAGAGGTTTGGAGAGCTTCCAGGGCGGCAAACACATCGACACACCAGGATGCTGACAGACTTTGGGGACAAAGTCTATCCTGTATGTTAACACAATTAATGTGGACCATCTTTTCTTCCTACTCCCTTAAGACAAGAGTAGTATCTCTGTTGCTTCCATCTATCAGAGTATAATATAGCATACTGAATTTCTCAGATCCTAGAATACACTGCTTGTTAAATATATACACCGATTTTCTGGTTCATCTGGTTTTGTACGCTAGCTTCTTGACTTACTCTGTGCACACCCTGTTGTGTCAAATGCCCACGCTTGGCCCTTGAGTTTGTCTGATACAGAGACACAAGCCACACAAATAGACTAAACCAATCTCTCTGTTCTCCTTCTTTTTATCTTCTTGCTGCATTTCCCCCTCCTCTTTTTCTCCCTCCTTCTCTCTCTCTCTTGCTCTCTTTCTCATTCTCTAAATTCAGACTGTCAACAGGAGAGAGACTCTGGCAGGCTCCCTTTGGGCTAAGTGCCCACTTAGTCCAATAATCAGCCATGATGCCTGAAGTTCCCCCTTGTGAACTGGAAGGGGGAACAGGTGAGGCCATTCATTTGGGATGGCCAGACATTCCCGGACTTGTCTGGTATCAGAGCAAAGCAATCTGTACTTCCTCAACGCTCAGCATTTTTCATCGAATTGGACCAAGAAGAGAGCTTTCAAGAGCTTCGCTAAGAATTCCTGCAGTGATCTAATTTCAAGGCGATGTCTCTTTTGGACAGTTACGTAACAAGAATACCAAACAATCAACATTTCGTACACACGTCATCATTTTGCCACTTGTCATCCCAGGTTGTAACTAAGTAAGTAAGTACATTAATGCAGCGATCAGTGAAACTCCACGTGTTTCCTTTAAAAAAGTAAAATAAAATAAGCCTCAGACGTTTGCACGAACAAAAGTAAATTTCTGAGTTCTTGCAAAAACACAAAAGCCTCAGAGTTTGTTAGGAAACTTGCAAGGCTCTTGGCATTCAAATTGCTTTTACAAAGCCATCCTGGGATGAGTCAAGTATAATTGAATCAGGAACATATGGGTTATATTCTCCCTTAAATATACATGGGTATAAAAATGAAGGGGAAGAGAACTTGCCAAATGTGTTACCAAAACAAAACACTTTCAAAATAACTTGAGACAGTCAACAGACCCCAAACACAGCTGTGTTCGCTTATGTCTAAAAAAATGCATTTTTCCCTTCAACGTCTTGATATGTTAATTTAATTTCTGTTGAGCGCCTACATTAGGCACCTTAGAGAGCTCACCAAGTCTGCAGCAGGGGCTTCCTATTTGTAAACACGAACTCTTAATGAAATGATTAGCATAATTTTCTTCTGGTTTTCCACGTCTACTTGAATAATTGGGGTTTTTTTTGGTTTTGTTTTTTTAAGTCTGTGCAGCACTGGGCATCGTTACCAGTCCTGTTTCTGCGATGGGTGTTTATGGTCCTAAACCACTGAAGGGCAGTACGCTTCTTAGAGAGGGTGAACTTGGATTTGGTTTCCACCAGAGAAGTGGTGGGTGGCAAGAGGCTGTGTCACGTGACAAGGCGGCCCCCGAGGGAAGAAGAAGGGTCAACACCGAGTCCTGATTGACACGCTGTGGCACGGTGATCAGAGCTGAACTTTATTAGTATTGTCCTTTCCTTTAACTTTTGTTCTTGTTTTCGTTTTTTATTTGTTTATTTTGAGAGAGACAGAGACAGTGCGAGTGGGGGAGAGACAGAGAGAGAGAGGGAGACACAGAATCCCAAGCAGGCTCCTCACTGTCAGCACGGAGCCTGATGTGGGGCTCGAACTCCCGAAACCACGAGATCATATCCTGAGCCGAAACCAAGAGTCGGATGGACGCTTAACCAACCGAGCCACCCAGGCACCCCCTTTCCTTTAATTTTTGTAATGCCAGATTTTCTCAGTTCGTCTGAGCAATTGTATTATGTTCAGAATTTTTTTCATTATTTGCACATTTGCCTTTTAACACAGTCAGTTATGATTTGGGTCACAACACACAGAATTATCTAGCTCTCGTGAGGTCTATATTGACAACATGGAACCCACTCAGGCAGAGCATGGCCTCGTGAAAGTGCCTTCTGGAAAGGGAGTTGCTTACTTTATTTTACTCACCGGGATCACCAGATTCCTGATGGCAACAGGAGTCAGGATCTGTCCAGGCCAGGTAAGTTTCAATAATGTATTTTAGAGTGTTCATTAAGTCTAGAATTTATAAAGGCAACAAAAGACGGGTTGATCGTAACTCATTCTTACATTACATTTTGTAATAACAATTGATACAGTTTTTACTCTACAAGAAGCACAATCTAACTATATCTAGCCCTCAACAGGACTCAGACAGACCTTTCCAATTCTGCCTTACCAGGGAGCTGCTGGAAACCCTTAATCAGTGTGGCCAGGAGAACAGTTTTTCCTCTAGACTGAAATCCTTTCCCCGCTTTTTCCAAGTTCTGCTGATCTTGTTTGCACGTTCCTTAGCAAATATGTGTGAGGATGTTACTGCCCGGATTCAGAGTCCTTACTATATGCCATTTGCAGAAAAATTTCCACCTGTGCTGATGCAATTTCTGAAAAATCACAGTTGGTATAGACTAGCAGTGACATTCCAGTGCTGTCCTGGGAATATTGCTCCCTATAAAATGCCATACCAAAATGCAATGTTTTAAAAATGTTTATTTATTTATTTTTGAGAGAGAGAGCAAGGGAGGGGTAGAGAGAGAGGGCGACAGAGAATCCCAAGCAGCTTCCAGGTTCCAAGCTGTCATCACAGAGCCCGTCACAGGTCTCAATCTCACAAACCCGGAGATCATGACCTGACCGAAGCACCCAGGCGCCCCACTACCAAAATGCATTCAAGTAATCATCTTCCTCTGGGACAGTTTTCTTTTTCCACTGGAGAGGTCCTGCACTCTGGTTGTTTATAATTTGAGTGCTATTTCCCACACAACGTGTTCGGCTCTGCTGGGTTCCCCCCTTCCTTAGAGCAATGAAAACGGTGATCACAGGAGGAATAACTTCTTGACCTAAAAGTGGATTTTTCCCACCTCGGTGCTCCCCTTGCCCTGCTTTTCAGCCTGTCGGGGAGTTCAACTCAATAAATCTTTACAAGGTGTCTGTTATGCCCCAGGCACTGGGCCAGTTGCCAAAGATATAAAGGGAAACAATACATGGTCCCTGCCTTCCAGAAGCATATGCCTTAGTTGGGAAATGAGAAATGTGCAATTCCTACAATGTAGTGGAAAGATGCGGTGGATGCGATGGGTGCGAGGAGAAATGGCACTCAGCCCCAGCAGGGGTAAAGGGAGGGAGGGGTAGGTAGTTCTCCATGGCTGCCGTAACAAATAACCACAAAGCTGTTAGCTTAAAGGGATACATACTTACTCTCCCGCAGTTCTGGGAGTCAGACCCGGGAAACACTGGGTCAAAACCAAGATTTTGAGAAGGCTGCCCTGGGGAGAATCCATATGTTGCCACTGCCAGCTTCTAGAGCTTTATTTCTCTCATTTCTTGGCTCATGGCCCCTTCCACCATCGCCAAGGACAGCTTTGTAGCATCTTCAAACCTGGCTCTGTCTGATCGTCACATCACCTTTTCTCCTGTGTGGTCAAATCTTCTACTCCCCTCTTGCGTGATTGCATTTAGTGACCACCAGATAATCCAGGATAATCTCCCCATGCCACAATCTGTGATTTAATTAAAGCTGCAAGGTCCTAGAAGCTGAACTTCTTTGGGGGTCCCCATTCAGCCTAGCATAGGAGGTGGTATAAGGAAGCTGGGAAAGGGTACTCTGGTGGAAGGAATGAGAAGGTGCAGTGGCATGAGATAGCACACAGCGCACGGAAAGTACTAGTAGTTTAGTACTATTGCAACATTGAATGTAAGGCAGGTGATGCTTAGGCAGGAGGGAGGGGCCACCTTGCAGAAGACGGCATGTGCCATGCTAAGCCATCTGGGTTTTATTTTGTACGTTTTAAGGTGTCGTCACAGGTTTATAAGTAGGGCCATGAGGTGGTCATTTAGCATTAGAGAGATCATTCTGGAAGATAGATTTAGGCAGGTAGCCATTTGGAAGATCTCTTTGTATGGCAGAGAGAATAACCCTTTGTCTCTTATCTATTACAAATATTTTTTCCATTTTGTCATTTCTTTATTATGAGTTTTTTCCGTATCGAAGATGGTATGTAGGGGTGCCCGGGTGGCTCAGTCGGTTAAGCATCTGACGCTTGATTTCGGCTCAGGTCGTGATCTCGCGGTTTGTGAGTTCAAGCCCTGTGTCAGGCTCTGGGCTGTGTGGAGCCTGCTTGGGATTCTCTCTCTCTCCCTCTCTCTCTGCCCTTCCCCCACTGATTCTCTTTCTGTCTCTCTCTTTCAAAATAAATAAAGTTAAAAAAAAGTCTTGTAAAAAAGATTGTATGCAGACAAATATATCTATCCTTTTTCTTGGGTTTCGGGATATCATATGAGGCATTCAACCTACCTCAGCTCCATATTTCCTTAATTTTTATGTTTTCCCGTTATAACATTTAATTTAATCTCTTTGAAATTTATCCTGGTATAAATTAAGTATAAATTTTTCCCACAAAGCATCATTAATTAATGTTACTACCATTTATTGAGCATTGGCGCTGGGCCAGGCACTATTCTAAGTGCTCATTTAGTTCTTATAACAACCCAGTGAAAGTCATTATTATCCCCATTTTGACAGGACAAAAGTGAGACAAATGGGGTTAGTAACTAGCTCACTTCTAGTATGAGTAAGTCGTACTTCCAGTAAAAGTAAGGCCATGTATTCATGTCTAACTGGCCCTAGGGTCCACTTGGTTTTAACTCTCCAAGAACATTCCACCTCTCTATGCCAAAGCCAGCTTTCCCTTGCTTAAAAAATATATATTTATATGTGTGTGTGTATCATTCCTTTTCTTCTTTTTCTTCCTTCCTTCCTTCCTTCCTTCCTTCCTTCCTTCCTTTCTTCCTGTCTTTCTTTCTTTCTTTCTTTATTTCTTTCTTTCTTTCTTTTTCTTTCTTTTTTAGTGTTTATTTATTTTTTAGAGAGAGACAGAGGATCCAAAGCAGGCCCATGCTGGCAGCAGAGACCCCAATGCGGGGCTCTGTCTCACGAACTGTGAGATCATGACCTGAGCCAAAGTCGGACTCTTAACCAACTGACCCACTTGGGCCCCCCGTTCCTTTCCCGATTACAAAAGTAATACATAATTGAAACAATTTTAGAAAAGTCAGAAAATAATAGAAGAGCACAAAGTCAAAAACTAAAAACGTCTTTAATCTTATGCCCAGAGATAATCAGTATTAATTTTGGGTGAACTGCATGTTCTTCCAGTAATTTTTTTTTAAGTTTATTTTTTTATTTTGAGAGAGACAGAGACAGCGCAAGCAGGGGAGGGGCAGAGAGAGAGGGAGAATCCCAAGCAAGCTCCACACTGCCCAGCACAGAGCCTGTGCTCCGGGCTGAAAGTCACAAAACTCTGAGGTCATGACCTGAGCCTAAATCAAGAGTCAGAGGCTCAACTGACTGAGCCACCCAGGCACCCCCTGGTTTTTGTACACATATGTAAAAGTATCTATTTAAAAAATGCATTTATGCTTAGTGCTTTATTTTGAACATTTCCTCAAGGGCTGTGTTCTTCTGCAAGATTTTTAAATTGTAAAGTATAACTTACAAACTTACTAATTATTGTTATAAATTGCAACTGAAACCAGTTTCTAAAGGTTAGACATTAAGGTTTTTTCCTTTTTAAACTTGATGAATACAAACACCCATTCTTGCACATACATCCTTGATTATGTTCAGGGGTTGAGACTGTTGGATCAAAGAGTTTGTACACTGATCAAAGAGTTTGTACATTGATCCTCCCTCTACCAATATATAAGAGAATTCCAGTTTCCTCAACATTTTTTTAGTGGTCTCAGTGGATGCGTCTATGATTATTAGTATGGTTGATCATTATGATTTAGCACTGCCTTTATGAATTGCCTATTAAATCCCTTTTTTTGCTCCTGTTCAGCTATATTCTCTTACTGCTTACAGTTTAATGTACTTTATTAATGTTTGTTTATTTATAAGAGAGAGAGAGAGAGAGAGAGAGAGAGAGTGAACAGGGGAGGGGCAGAGAGAGAGGGAGACATAGAAACCGAAGCAATGATCTGGGCTGTAAGCTGTCAGCACAGAGCCTGATGCAGGGCTTGAATCCACGAACTGTGAGATCATGACCTGAGTCGAAGTCGAACGCTTAACCGACTGAGCCACCCAGGCACCCCCTTAATGTACTTTAATATATACTATATACTAATACTTGTAAGTCACTAATTATATATATGACTAATGAATATCATATATCTATCTTTTCACTCTGGCATATAGCAAATACATTTTTCTAGTGTATCCATTGGTCTAATAATGTTTTTTGGTGTTTATTTTTATTTTTTGAGAGACAGAGAGACAGCGCGAGCAGGGCAGGGGCAAAGAGAGAGAGGGAGACACAGAATCCGAAGCAGTCTCCAGGCTCCGAGCTGTCAGCACAGAGCCCCATGCGGGGGTCCAACTCAGGAACTTGCAAGATCATGACCTGGGCTGAAGTCAGAAGCTTAACTGACTGAGCCACCTAATTTTTTTGAATTGGGGTAATTGACAGTGGGGAGTTTCAAAATTCTATTTAGATGAATCCATTATCTGTTTCCTTTGTAACTTCTTTGAATTTCTGAATTTAAAAACAAAAACAAAAAAACCTCAAACGAAAGAATGAATAATATCATGAACATTTTGGGGAGAGAAAAATTCAAAAATCAACTCAAGGAATTCTGTTAGAATGCTGATCAAAACACAAAGGGATAGAAATTATTAGAGAATTACCCTTGGAAAGATAAGAGTGAGTGGAGAGGCTGGGTATCCCCAGGTGAGGGAGGGGGAGGGGGTCAGGGCAGAGTGGAGGGTGAGAGGAGGAGATCAGGGCAGGCTGGAAGGCCAAGGACAACCTGGAGGGCAAGTGAGATTTCCCTGATCTCCTTGGGGAACAGCCCTCCACGGATACCTGGTCTGTCCTCCACCCTGTCTTTCTGGAACCAACCCAGCAAGGCCTATACCGTTATCTCCAGTAGTGGGGAGATAACCTCCAGGGGGGAGATGTGAAAGCCTACCCAGATTTTTCATGGGTCCCCGGATTCAGCTATATCACTGGAGAACAGACAAAGAAACAAAAGCATTGATACCTTTTTAGAATTCTTTCTCAGCTTTTGACCCTCCCTAATTTTGCTTTCATTACCTTATAATTTAGGATGCATCTTTCTGTCCACTCCATGGTTTTTTTCTTTATTATTATTATGGAAATTGGGAAGTACAAGTAAGTACGAAGATGTACTAATTACTAATAACAGTTTATTTTTGTATTTTTTTTATGGGGGGGAGGGGCACAGGGAGAGCAAGAGAGCGAGAGCGAGAACAGAGACTCCCAAGCAGGCTCCACACTCGGCACAGAGCCCAGTGCAGGACTCGATCCCACAATCCCGGGATCATGACCTGAGCCGAAATCAAGAGTCGGGTGCTCAACCAACTGAGCCAGCCAGGCGCCCCACTAATAACATTTTAGAAACTTTCGTATCAAAAAAGAAAGAAACGTACATATTTGCCGACTCTTCTTCCGAAATCCAGCTTCCTCTCAACTGCCTCGTCCTTCCAATCCCTTTCATTTTGAGGAAAGGAAGGAAGTATAAAAATAAAAATTACAGGGAAACTATAAAGGGAAAGACCTCAGAAATCAGGCCGCAAGTTATCAAAGGCTATAAAACGCCATATTTCCCCTCTTGCATCCCCAACCCTGTTCTCTGCAACACTCCCACCGTCCTCACAAGCTGGAACACCAGTGGGGTATGCCTTTGTGGTACTGACGGTGGATAAACAGAGTGGCACACGCGGGGTTCAGGGTTCAGAATGAGACTGTGGATCTGCGTCTCACCCCCGCATCAGTGTTTCTTAAAGGAAAGAAAGTCTTGCAACGAGCCAGGCCCAGGCGGATTATGATGTGGGGAAAGTCGGCCTCCGTGGCCTTCTCTCTCTCCCCCTTTCCCTTTCCCCCTGCACTCTGGCATCTCTGAACCTGCCCACTTCCTACAGCACCTTGCTCTCAGCCAGCTGCTATACAATGCTACCGAAGAATTCTCTGGCAATGGCGTGAGCATGTATTCGCTCTTTGGAGGTAGCGTCAGGGTTAAGGAATCCATTTTTTTTAATACACACCAGGAGAAGGAAACTTTATTAAAAGAATCGTGCCCAGAAACTGGGGCTTTGAATCTTTAACACCTTCTAAATGTGATATCCTAGTAGGCGTAAGGAAGGTTTTCTGGTTACTTTGGTGGGGAAAGGGAAATGAATTTGGGTTAAAAACTAGGAGGTTTGGGGGGCCTGTGGATTGTGAAAAGCAGAAAGCAGAGGGTAACTGAGTTGTGAAGATTCTAGGAGGTGGACTGATGGAAATTATGGAGTCTGCTTTACGGAGGTAAAAACAGAAAGGAAAGTACGATTGTGGAGACATTTCTCTGGGGGTGATCAAATGGAGGGCTGGGTAGTATTTACCTGAAGCTAAAGGGTCGGGTCTTGGACCAAAAGGGAGGAAGAAAGGGTGGACCACCCAGAGAAGTCAAGATCAGCCCAGGACCTGGTAACTGGGGAACTCCCATGCCTAAAACAGTCGAACGTACAGGAAAAGCCCAAATTTCTTACCGCAGCTGGCCAGGGCCTTCCTAATCTGCTCCCAGGTTGAGTCTCTCTCTCTCCTCACTGTACTTCAGCCGCGTCTACCTTCTTGAAGCCTTCCAAACACCACACGTGGTCATGCCTCGCTGTCTTTGAATAATCCGTTCTCGTCCCCGAGATCCACGTCCTGTGCTGGCTGTCTGAACAAGTGGGCACCCTTCAGGAGTTAACCAAATTATCACCACCACCACCACCCCCGCCCCCCACCACCCCGCCGAGAACCTCCCTGACTCCTCCCTGGTGCACTTTTGAAATACTAGGTGTGGCAGTCCATTAACATTTATCACCCTTTCTGTCATTCTTTCTTTGAGATGAGCTCAACAAAAGGCACCCGTACTTTAGATTTGAGTAGCCAGTCCCTGACATCATGCCTGGAAAGCAGTGGGGTGTCAAAACATTCTCCATAAATGAGGAGGGGGGGGAGGGGGGCGGGGGGGAACAGGAAGGTTCTAGAAAGGAAAAAGGAATCTTTTGTGACCTGATTTGATGACCATTGTGATACACGCCTTTGACTTAATTTTCTTTTCCTTTTCTTCAAGGTGGTGACAGTGAGAAATTACTCAAGAGAAGGATTGGCTAAGTGAGTAACTCTCGGCTTTGATGGGGAAGACACCTGTGGCGAAAGCTGGTTGGCCCCTGTGGTCCGAACAGCACTGAGAGTCTGGGCGTGGCTTCCCTGTGAACACCTTGCCCAAATGCCAAAGGCTTTCCCGCCCTCCACAAAGGCAGGCAGGGCAGACCATTCCCGGGAACAGACCAGCTTGCACATTCCTGAGACCCAGCCCTGGAGTGTGGTCACTGAACTACAAATCAGTAGTTCCCAACCAGAGGAGATTTTGCTCCTTCCCCCAAGGGATATTTGGAAATGTCTGGAGATATTTTTGTTGTCATAACTAGCATGTTGGGGGGGGGGGGGCTACTGGTATCTAGTGGGTATTGACCAGGGACCCTACTAAGCATCCTACACACACAGGAAAGCGCCCACAGCAAATTCTCCAATCCCAGTGTTAATACTGAGGTTGAGAAAGCTTGCTCTAAATAGTGATGTCATGGGAGGGGTTACCAATTCTCAGAAACACCATGACTGAAACTCTCAACTCAGAGCACTCCACCCGGTGACCTGGGACCGGCACACCCTGAAGCGTACTTCGGCATCATTAGCAGATCCCGGGTCAGGTGACGCTACTACCCCAGATAGTGGCCATAACTGCCCGCAGCCCATGTACATCACTTGGGGGCCTTGACCTTACACTCCACTGAGAAATCACTGGCCATCAAGCTCAGTGTCTCAGTTTTTGTCCCTTTTACCACCCATTTCCTGGCAACAGCACCTGCACTGACTTCTGCATCTTCAGTCTCCTTGGCTGAGATCCTCACCTTGAACTAGAACGCTTCCTCTTTGGACTCCACCAAGAGCTTGCTCCACCAATCAGTTCCTCTTTATGTCTAAACTCTCGAACCTTTGGCTCCTTCCCTTAGTCTATAGATGATATATAGATATAGATATAGATATAGATATAGATATAGATATAGATATAGATATAAAGAATGAAGAATCTTATGTGTATATATACACATATACGTATATATACGTATATATACACGTATATATACGTATATATACACACATGTATATATGTGTATATATATGTATATATACGTATATGTGTATATATGTATAAGATTGTACATGTATAAGATTCTTCATTCTTTCTTTTAAAAAATTGAAGAAACTTTTCTTAATCTGACGCTTCTCAAATCTTTACCTTGTATCCCTCCGTCCCATTCTATTCCATTTATCTGAATGTATATTCTTCCTGTAAAAAAATGTCAAAACTTTGAAACAAGTTCAAGCCCGCCTATGACTCACCCATACCCACCAGCAACAAAGTCACCACTAGTAATCAGTTTGGTGTTTCCTGCTAGAACTCTGTCTGTGCATTTTACTCACCATAGAATATAGATTTATTTTGTGAAGGGTTCATTCTCCCAAGAATGGCATTATTCTGTGCGTATTGTTCTACAGCCATTTTTTCCCCCACAGCTTGATTTATCTCAGCGCCCTTCCTGTCCCTTTATTTATTTATTTATTTATTTATTTATTTATTTATTATTTTTCATTTTATTTTCTTTTAAATGTTTATTTATTTTTGAGAGTGAGCACTCAAGCAGAGGAGGGGCAGAGAGAGAGAGAGGGACAGAGATTCCGAAGCAGGCTCTGCACGGACAGCAGAGAGCCTGATGCAGGGCTCGAACTCATGAACCACGAGATCAAGACCTGAGCTGAAGTCAGATGCTCAATGGACTGAGCTACCCAGGTGCCCCTTTCCCATCCCTTTCTTTCTTTCTTTTTTCTTTCTTTCTTTCTTTCTTTCTTTCTTTCTTTCTTTCTTTCTTTCTTTCTTTCTTTCTTTCTTTTTTTCCTGCAATGCAGGGGCTGGAAATCTGGAAACTACTTCCCAGGCTCCCTTGCCAGCATATTTCCAGTTTAGCTTCCATGAATGCCAGGCTCTTGCTTGATATTTGGAAGGTAGAAGAGAAGCAGAGGCCATTATTGCCTTAGAAACAGGGACAGCTCGTGGGCAAACACGGTTTCTGGACATCCTTCTGTGAGTTGCCTGCTTGGGTACTGCCGGCAGCTGAGAGCGTCGCTGGCATTTTCCTGTGATCCCTGATGGTCCTGATTTCCCAAGTGTTAATATTGCCTTTCCCAACTTTTTGCTTCCCCTGTCCTTTCAACAGTTGTGTGAGCCCCGAATCCCTTCAATTAAATGTTTTCCAGTTTAAGCCACCTGAATGATTTCTCTGTTCTTGACTGAACCCTCACTGCTGGAATATTGTGCCCAGAAATGGTTTTAGGAAACAGTCCCACAGGATGGGGCTCTAGGATTAGGTATTTGATGTGGTTATATTCGAAGGCTGTGGACAATGGAATACTGCCAGTCTGTGGCTTGGAGCGGTAAGCACTTTTTCAAATGATCACCTGCAGTTTCTTGGAATGAAAAGTATATTCAAAGGTAAGCTTGGGGGCGGGGGGCGTCTGGGTGGCTCAGTCAGTTAAGCATCTGACTTTGGCTCAGGTCATGATCTCGCAGTTCATGAGTTTCAGCCCTGTGTCAGGCTCTGTGCTGACAGCTCGGAGCCTGGAGCCAGCTTTAGATTCTGTGTCTCCCTCTCTTTCTCTGCCCCTCTCCTGCTCATGCTCTCTCTCTCTCTTGCTCTCTCTCTCTCTCAAACATAAACATTAAAAGAATTTTTTTTAATAAAAAGAGAATATATCTTGGAGCCTGGGTGGCTCAGTTGGTTAAGTGTCTGACTCTTGATTTTGGCTCAGGTCATGATCTAACGGTTCGTGAGACTGAGCCCCATGGCAGGCTCTGTGCTGACAGTGAAGAACCTGCTTGGGATTCTCTCTCCCTCTTTCTCTGCCCCTCCTCCTCTCGAGCTCTCTTTCTGTCTCTCAAAATAAATTTAAAAACTTAGGGGCGCCTGGGTGGCTCAGTCGGTTAGGCATCCGACTTCAGCTCAGGTCGTGATCTCGCGGTCTGTGAGTTTGAGCCCCGCGTCAGGCTCTGGGCTGATGGCTCGGAGCCTGGAGCCTGTTTCAGATTCTGTGTCTCCCTCTCTCTGCCCCTTCCCCGCTCATGCCCTGTCTCCCTCCGTCTCTCAAAAATGAATAAACGTTAAAAAAAAATGTTAAAAAGAATATATCTTGGAGATCTTTCCTAGCCAGTTCATAGCTTGGCCTCATTCTTTTTAGCTACTACATAATGTTTCACAACACAGACATATCTTTGCATTGCTGTTTTCCTGTTTTTAATTTTTTGCTATTAAAATGTGTCAGTTAACACTTTTGTGCATGTCTCTTTGTACACAGCATTTCAGCATTTCTTAGTATCTAGAACTGATACAAAGAAATGGAATCGTTTAGATAAACAGTAGGTTCATGTTAATTTTGTGTTGATATCACCATTTGCCTTCCAAGATGTCTGTATAATCTATTCCACCACCAACAGAGCAAAAGAGTAACTGTTTCGCTGGCTTCCCGCCAACTTCAGTAATAGGAATAATATTTTGAAAATATTAGGCTAATGTGTTTTTCCTTTAAATTCCTTCCTTAAATCATTTTCCCCTGCAGACTTCCACCTCTAAGGCTGAGGCAAGGGGCTTAATGTCCTCGCAAAGCGAGGTAGGTAAAGGCATTAATCCATTCTGTATCTCACACCTGACTTTCCTGAATCAGAAACAAGTCTCTGAAGCCAGTTTTCAGCAAAGTTCCTTTAAATCCTATTAACAGATTAAGAGCAAAGCCTAGAAAGCTATATTATCAGTTAGCCTTTGTTGCATGACAAACTACCCTTCCATTTAATGGTTTCAAACAATGAACATTTATTTGCTCTTGATTCGACGGGTTGGTGATTTGAGTGGGCCTCAGCTAGGTGGCTGGCTTCTGCCCCATGTCATGTCAGTGAGGCTCGCTCATGCATGTGGACATTGGCTGCGAAACTAGGATGCACAACCTCTCTCCATGCTTTCTGATCCTCCAGGATCAGGGAGGGCACTACAAGCTAGGGCATGTAGTGGAAGAGGAGTTCCTGGAAGCAACAGAGGGCAAGTCCCAATGTCCAGGCACTTTTGAAGTCTATGCTTTTGCTATTGCTGCATTGGCCAAAGTTGCATGGCCCTGCCGTGATTGAAGAGAGACAGGGGTGCCTGGGTGGCTCGGTCAGTTAACCACCCGACTTCAGCTCAGGTGATGATCTCACAACTTGTGGGTTTGAGCCCCACATCCGGCTTTGTGCTGACAGCTCAGAGCCTGGAGCTTGCTTCCGATTCTGTGTCTCTCTTTCTCTGCCCCTCCCCTGCTAGCACTCTGTCTCTCTCTCTCTCTCTCAAAAATAAATAAACTTAAAAAAATTCTTAATAAAAAAAAATGAAAAGACAGAGAGAGATAAGACCCCACCTCTTAATGGGATGGCTGTAAGGACACATACAAAGATCGTCATGTCTACCTTGAATGCCCTCTCATAGGCCTCCACTCCAGACCTCTTTGTCGTCATCCTTTCAGTCCTTTCCTTTCAGGCTCTTGACCAGCCAACCAGTCTACTCACTGCTACCAAGAGCTCACGTAAATTCTCACCTTACGCCACCTTTTCTGTCTGTGAAAAGTGGGTGATCAAGCAATTACTCAAAGCTCAACCCACTGGAGAGATTTTTCTCTCCAGACTCTCTTTGAAGGTTGAATGTAACTGCGATGCATCCGCTATCCGTTTTATCCATTCACCGTGGGCATGTAGCCAACCCAACCCATCCACAGGTCAAGTTCAGGCTCTTCTTCCCCTTTCGGCACCTCTTCCTTTGCTATATGGCCAAACATGTGAGTCGTGGCCATATAGCAAACTGGTACAACTGTCACGTGGAAAAGGGGAGTCTGGGCTAACTTCTCGTGCATCTGCGTGTCCTGCTCAGGCTCCCATCACAGCCTTTCCACCTTATCACGCGCTGCCTCTGGGCCCCCCGTCTTTATGATTGGCGGGTTCAAGACAACTCAGCTCATAGCGAGCGGTTTCAGACACATGGCCACCTGATGCTTCATGGTAAAGCATTCTGTCTTTACCGGGGCTCAGTAACACACCAGAGATTATTTCAAGAAAGACAAAAGGGCTATTATTCGTCCTGAGCTTGCCAAAAACTCCACGTAGAATCTTTTCCCACCACTGACCTTTCCCACATCATCAAGTCTGCCATGTTGAATGGTCCAAATGGCAGGACTGCTTGCGGGGCAGAGGGGACCTGCTACGGAACCCTTTTCTGCTGAAGGGGAATCCCTCCAGGCTGCCGGTCTTCTCAGTGACTCAGTACGTGACCTGGAGCCACGTGCCCGGGTGTGGAATGTGAACAGGCCTATCGGGGGTGGTAGTACTGTCTTCTTTGTTGTAAGAGACGCAAGATCCAGTCTTTTAGTAAGGGATGTCCTGGTCCACCCCAGCCCTTGCACACCCAACGTCTTTACCAAAGTGGCAGGTCCATAAATCTTCCTAGAGGTTATCCCCTGCCCTGTGGTGCACATGTGTCTTACCAAGGCCTCCTGGCGCTCGCACCTCTTGTTTATCCTGCCCAAGCAGACGTCATCAATGTAAAAGATTAGTTTTATGCTCTACAGGATGTCCCTGGAATCCACATCCCTCCCGATTATATTATGACAGCCAGTGGGTGCATTAAATTAGCCCTAGGAAAAATCTGTAATATGTATTGTCTATTTATTGCACAAACATATATTACGGGGCACCTGGGTGTCTTAGTCATCTGAGCATCTGGTTCTTCGTTTCAGCTCAGGTCATGATCTCTTGGTTCGTGGGTTTGCGCCTGGTGCTGTCAGTGTGGAGCCTACTTGAGGTTCTCTCTCCTTTCTGCTGCTCCCTGGCTGTCTCTCTCTCTCTCTCTCTCAAAATAAATAAATAAACTTGAAACAAACAAACATATAGTATATAAATCCACGTAATTACAAACTGTTTCAGATCCTCTTTTCTGATTGGGATTAAAAAGAGGGCACGTGTCAGGGTACCTGGGTGGCTCAGTCACTTGAGCGTCCGACTCCTAACTTCAGCTCAGGTCATGATCTCACGGTTTGTGAGTTCAAGCTCTGTGTCGTGTTGTGTCGTGCTGTGCGTGTGCGCTGGGAGCACAGAATCTGCTTGGGATTCTGTCTCCCTCTCTCTGCACCCCCCCCCGCCCCACTCGCTCTCTCTCTCTCTTTCAAAAATAAATAAATAAATATATATATAAATATAAATAAATAAATAATTTTTTTTTAATTTAAAAAGAGGGCATTTGTCACATCAATGGCTGTAGAACGTGTGCCTGAAACAGTATTAAGCTACTCTAGCCAAAATACTACGTTTGGCATGGCAGTCGCAGGTGGGGCTACTATTCGGTGGAGCTTTTCACAGTCTATAGTTATTCTCCACGATCCATCTAGCTTCTGCGAGGGGTCCTCAGGGGTCAGTCTGATAAATTCACTAGAGATATGACAGGAGCCACCACAGCTGTATGCTTAAGATCCTTAAAGTAACACTAATCTCTGCCTTTTCCCCCAAACTGCTAGACTGGTTTTGTTTCGTGTTTTGAGCAGGGACTTAGGATCTGTTTCAGAGACTTCCATATGACCTTCCTTATCATGGTAGCCATTACTCCAAGAATGCTTCTCCCAATTGCCAACAATGTCAGCCCTCCCTGTGGGTCAAGCACCCTGAATTTTCTTTGTAGATCGCACTCGATATTATTAAACTCAAATTTTTGTCAGTCTGATGGAAGAAAAATGACACCTCTTTTTGTTTTGGTTGCATTTTCTGACCGTAAGGTTGATTGCATTTTTCCATGACTCCTGGCCTCTGTACATCCTTTTCTGTGAACTGCAGGTACACATTCTTTACCCCTTCTTAATTGGGTCGTGTTCCTTTTTCTTATAAATTCAGTAATATTAACTTTAACCCCACGAAACAATTAAATTATTTAAATGATTATCATGAATACTTATGTTAACTAACCGGCTGATTTTATCAGTCAGATGTTGACAGGGAGTAGCCCTTCCTTACGTGCGGTTTCTCTTCCCCACTTGGCATGGTTTCAGTTACCCATGGTCAAAAATGACCTTCCTTCTGATATATTGATATATCCTTCTGATATATCTGTCAAAAAGTCAATAGGAGCCTAACACCACATCACGATGCCTACGTCACCCACCTCACTTCATGTCATCATGTAGGCATTTTATCATCCCACATCGTCACAGGAAGAAGGGTGAGTAAGTACAGTATTTTTGAAGAGATAGAAGAGGACCGCATTTACATCAGGTTGATGACACTATATTGTTTCGATTGTTCTATTATTAGTGGTTGCTGTTCATCTCTTACTGTACCTAATTTATAAATTAAACTTTATCACAGGAAAAACCAGTATGTATAGGGTTCAGCATTATCCACAGTTTCAGGCATCCGCTGGAGACCTTGGAACCTAACCCTGCACATAAGGAGGGATGATCGTAAATGGGGTTAATAATGTAATAGCATGTGTAGGTAATCTGTATATTGTTAGTAAATAATGTATAGATTCTTTAATGTGGACTATGTATAATGGGATAATATTGTGTTAATGTTAACACAAATATAAATTAACATTTAGTATAATTATACACTTTTATTTATTTTTTGTTTTTTAATAAAATTTGTAAAATGTTTTTATTTATTTTTGAGAGAGAGAGAGAGAGAGAGAGAGAGAACAAGTGGGGGAGGGACAAAGAGAGAGGGAGACACAGAATTCGAAGTAGGCTCCAAGCTCTGAGCTGTCAGCACAGAGCCCAACGTGGGGCTCGAATTCGTGAACTGCGAGATCATGACCTGAGCTGAAGTCAGATGCTTAGCCGACTAAGCCACCCAGATGCCCCTATACTTTTATATAATATAACATTAATAGATGTTATTTTATTTTATTTTTAAATGTTTATTTATTTTTGAGACAGAGACAGAGTGTGAGCAGGGGAGGGGCAGAGAGAGAAGGAGACACAGAATCCAAAACAGGCTCCAGGCTCTGAGCTGTCAGTACAGAGCCTGACGCAGGGCTCAAACCCATGAACTGTGAGATCATGACCTGAGCCGAAGTCGGAAGCTTAACCGACTGAGGCACCCAGGTGCCCCCTAACTTCTCAATATTTTAATGAACCCCTTATGATCTGGCTTCTAACTGTAAAACACACCTGAAATTTATCTTGCTAAAGTCTTGTTTTGTTTTGTTTAGGTAGGTTCCACACCTAGCGTGGAGCCCAACGTGGGACTTGAACTTACAACCCTGAGATCAAGACTTGAGCTGAGATCAAGAGTCTGATTCCTAAGGGACTGAGCCACCCAGGCACCCCTATTTTGTTACAGCCTTAAATGATCTTCAAAAGTTAACACCAAAGCTTTGTTTTTGATCTTGCTCTCACTTATCTGCTCTTCCTGAAACTCTCTTCTTTCTACCTTTCATCTTCACCTTCCTGATTTTCTTCCTCATCTCTGACGATTACTCATCACTCTGTTCTCAGGCTGTGCTTCCTTTGGCTTCCCCTTTAAACGTTTATTTTCTTCTGTCTTCATTTCTGTCTTATGTCCTTGGTCCTCACACTCTTCTTGGCGATTTCGTCTAACCTCAGGTTTCAACACCACTTATACGTTGTTGCAAACCAAATCTATTTTTGCATGCAAGACAAGCTCCCTCTGCAACAGAATCCCTTTCCCGGGCTCCCATCACATCACATGCCAAGTATTTTTTTCATTTATATCTCCAGCCCAGACCACTCAGCTAAGCTGGAGAATCGAATATCTAATGGGACATTTCTACTTGGACATTTCACAGGAATGTCAAAATCAACAAACATATAAACTGAACTTCTGGGGTCCCCACCCGGTACCAGCAACCCCATTTTGTGCTCATTCAGCTCTCACCATGCCAGTGCATCTACCCCATGTTCTTCTCCAGAGCCCTGCTCATCCTCCTGGACGCTGTTCTCCAGGGTGGTCCCACCTTGTTACATTCTCGACTTCTTCTAATCCATTCTTCACACGTTAGCTGGAGAAGTTGATATAAATGAAAATTCTTGTATGTTCTCTCTTTTTTTAAGAAAATTGTTAATTAACTGGTTTATTTTGAGGGAGATGGCATGAGTGGGGGAGGGGCGGGGGGGTGGGGAAGGGAATCCCAAGCAGGCTCTGTCAGCACAGAGCCCTATGCAGAGCTCAAACCCACAAACTGTGATATCATGACCTGAGCCGAAGCCAAGAGTCAGACACTTACCTGACTGAGACACCCAGGCGCCCCTATGTTCTCTCCTGAAAACCTTTCGATGATTTCCTATTGCATTGCGATTGGGACCCTTGCCGTCAACATAACCTAAGATGCTATGTGCACCCCCCTGCACCTGTCCCGCTGCTCCAGCCTCTTCTAATGGCCCCTCTCCTTCGCTCACTGAGCTTCCTTTAGTTTCTTTATCCCGCCAAATTCCCTGCTGCTTTGCAGCTCTTCCTAGGCCTGAAATGCTCTCCACTCTGTCACTGTTTGCGTAGAGAAATCTCTACTCCTTCTTTAGAGCTCACTTCAGAAGTCTCTCTCTCTCGAGGAAACCACCATGCCTCCCTCCCCCAGGTTAGGTCTCACTCACAGACAGTCTCCTGGCTCTGCTGAACTTTTCCTTGACCACATTTGTCGCAAGGGTGATTCACTGTGATCTTTTCGCAACTATAAGGAATTAACTTCGCACCAATGTTTGCTTAATATTAACAGCACACACTAGACTATAAACTTCACAAAGGCAGAGACTGTGTCTGGTTCGCTCATGCTTGGCACAGTGCCTGGCACGTAGGAAATCCTCAATAAACACTTATTAAATGAATAAATGTGCTTATTATAATATCCTCTGAAACTTCCTTTTCCTGTTTTCTGTTCCCATCCGTGAAGATATCACCATCCACTAAGACCGGAAATCTCTGAGTAAGTCATCACGTTTCTCTTCCCCGCTCCATACCCCGTATGGAATCTGCTGTGAAACCCTGGCCGTTCTGTTTCGAAATACTTCCCGGATCCGGAGTCTCTTTTCTGTCCTCCCTACCACACACTGGTGGAGGCCAGCCTCCTCTGTCTGGGCTGCTGTAAGCCTCCCCACAGGCCTCCTGGGGCCTGGTCCTTCTCTCTGCATTTCATCTCCAGAGTCTTGTTCTGAAGAGACCAATGGAACTGAATAACGTCCAGGTAAAGATGTTAGCTACCTCTGTTCTATGCAGATCATCGTGTTTAACACCGTAGAACACCAGGGAAGCCTCCATCATCATCTGCCACTGCCCTGAAAAACCCATATTCTAATCATCCATATTTCTCGGGGTGCCTCACTGACTCAGCTGGTAAAGCGTCGACTCTTGATCTCGCCCTCAGGTCATGACCTCATGGTTCAGGACACACGGCGGGCTCTACGCTGACAGCACGGAGCCCGCTTGGAATTCTCTCTCCTCCTCTCTCAGTCCCTACCCCACTCGTTGTTGCTCACTCTCTCTCTCTCTCTCTCTCTCTCCAAATAAATAAATAATCTGAAAAAAAATTTAAATCTAAGCCCCCGATTTCTTGCCATTTCCCAAAGTACACCTCGCCTTTTTGTGGCTCCGTGTCCTTGTACAGGTTGCCTTCTTTGCTTGGAACACTTGCTCCTCAACTGCTCACTTATCAAGTGCCTGCTAATCCGGCAGAACTCATCTGAAATGTAATGCCCTCTTTGAATTATTTCTCTTTTCCCCCAGGAAAGCTAGACGTTTCCTTTCTCGGTCTCCACGGCTTTCCCATCGTGCCTGAATTTACCACACACCATGTGACTTTGTAATTATCTATTCCCGTGCCTGTGAAGGGGACATAAAATTTATAGTCACAATCCACATGTGCAGGAAAGGTAACTTTTTTTTTTTCCCCCTACAATAAAACGCAACTAACTGTTGAGCCACAGATCCACACATGTCAGAAAACACATATTGTTGCCACCCTGGAGTCATCTCTGGATCAACCTACTCTCTCTGAGTAAACGTGCGAGCAGTTTTAAGATCCTATCCCTTTTGTTTCCGCTAACCGTTTCTCTCTGCAGAATCTTCCTGGGTGACCTAGGCAACATCCTGACATTGAAGGAGGGTGTGTGTGGACTCTGTGCCTTCCTCCAATACTGGCTGGCCTCTGAAGAGGTTTGGGGCGCTGAGGACTGGCATCAGTTGCTGACATAGAAGGCCCACGCATGACATGGCCTCTGGTAAAACCATTGTATCCACTCCGTCCTTCTCATCTGGACCCCCTCCCTCCAGACCCCGTACCCTTCCTCTTAGCATTTATACCTCCACTATCTCCCCCAGATCAGAGCTCGGGGCTCTGATCTATTTTCTTCTTGTCACTGTGGGGTGTGCAGGATTTCGCGGGGGCTGTTCTCAGGCCCAGCTGCTTGGATGACACCCTGAGCCACGGGGAACCTATTGCTTTGTCACCCTGTGCTCGGTGTGGGGCTTCCCTAGAGGCTGATCAACTGGGATGTACCTGGAATGTAAGGATCCTGAGATCCTTTGAACGTCTAGGGTGTTTATGACTCTCCTTCCCCAGGGGTTATTATCCTGGGTGGGGCAGGTTTAACTGGAGGGTGGGAAGGTGCTTCTCGGGCACCTAATTTACTCTCAATTAATTTAATCCCTCCAAGGTTATCCCATGGGGCTCAGGAAGAACTATGATTTTCTACATCATGATAGATTGGCCTTTTAAAAATTTTTTTAAGTTTATTTATTTATTTTTGAGAGAGAGAGAGAGAGAGAAAGTGCGTGCACAAGCAGGGGAGGGGCAGAAAGAAGGAGAGACAGAATCCCAAGCAGGCTCCGCACCGTCAGCGCAGAGCCTGATGCGGGGCTCGAGCTCACCAACCATGAGATCGTGACCCGACCCGAGATCAAGAGTTAGACGCGTAACCGACTGTGCCCCAAGATTCGATTTTTAATATAATCTGTGCTCCAGTCGTCCTGACTCTGGAGCCTTGATTTTCAAAGACCTGCATTTTCTGTCTTACCCAAGCCTACCTCTTGAAAATCAAAAGGGCTTGTCTCTCAGACTGACATGTTAGCTAAGGGGTTTAAAATTATACTCTGAAACTCAAAGCTGAATAATGACTGCTTTGTGCCAGCCTACACCCAGCCTCCCCCCAAGGATGGTGCAGAATAAAGAGCCGTTGCTGCTCTCTTATTGGTAGGGGAGTGGTAACGTAAAAGAATAGACAAAGACAATTTAAGAGCAAAACTTTGCCCTATTGCATTTGTTTTCCCCACAAAACTATAAGCTTCCCGATGGCAGGGTCTCATCCATAGGGCTGGAATGTTTGTGGAGGGCAGAAATTAGCAGTTCCCTGGGGAAATTGGTAGCAAGGGTCAGAGCGCCAAAGCTGTGATAAGGCCGTGGCCGGCAAAAAGTTGGTGTAAACCCACAGGTCATTCTCTAAACTTTCCTCCTTTGCTCTCCACTAGAGACAGTGGACATTTAAAATACCCGAATTCCAACTTCTCTTGCAGCTAGAGATCAGTGGCAAGATTTTGTCAAGGAGCCACTGACAATTTGGTGGGGAGTGTCTAGGCAAGGGTTTGCTTTCCAAATGGAAGAGACAGATGCAGTCCTTCCCCTTCCTTGCCTGCCTTGGGCAACTGGCACAGCCCCCCCCCCAACCCCCCACATTGCTCCCTGGCCCGTGCAATCGGGACAGTTGTGGCAGAAAGGGCCATGTGCAAGCCCTATGAGTTCTTCCTCCCTGCTAAAATCGTAAACAAAAAGCAATAGCACAGCCCTGAGGAATCATAGAAATTGGTGCCTTCTTCAAAACTTTGAAAGATGAAGAAGTGTCACTTCTATTAAATCCCATTAAATCCAGCTATGGGGCCTTTGCAGAAGAGAGAAAGGTCTTAGAAGATGACAGCAAATTATCTGAAGCCTAATTAGGCTAATTAGAATTGCTTTTCTGGATATGATCCTTTATAGTAATGACTCAGCACACACCCTGGGACCTGGTATGCTGCTGTTAATCTGAAAATTTCTTTTTCTTTCTTTCTTTCTTTCTTTCTTTCTTTCTTTCTTTCTTTCTCTATATATTTTTTATGTTTTATTTATTTTTGAGAGAGAGGGAGAGACAGAGCGTGAGCAGGGGAGGGGCAGAGAGAGAGGGAGACACAGAATCCAAAGCAGGCTCCAGGCTCTGAGCTGTCAGCACAGAGCCCGACGCGGGGCTCGAACTCACGAGCTGTGAGATCATGACCTGAACTGAAGTCGGACGCTTAACCGATTGAGCCACCCAGGTGCCCCCTTTTTATGTTTTATTTATTTTTGAGAGAGAAGGATACTTTTATTATGTAACCTCACGTCGTCTCTGGCCTCATTCAAGGGAGTCCTCTGGGAACTTGATGTTTTCACCATCTATACAATATCCTGCTTGTCCGTTATTTTGATGACGTTTATACAGATAGGACCTAATGAGCTAGAATTCGGAAGTTCCTCAGATGTGCAACTAAGATAAATATCTGCTCAAGTGTGGGAGATAAATCACATGAAAATATGTACCCCTACCAGTAAGAAAGAGGCACAATCCTTGACGGGATATTGGAGATTTTAGAGGCTATTGCCTTAGTCCATTCGGGTTGCAATAACAAAATACCAGAGCCTGGGAGGCTTATAAACAACAAAAATCTATTTCTCATGGTTCTGGATGCTGGGAAGTCCAAGATCAAAGCTTTAACATGGTTGCATTCTGGTGAGAGCCCTCCTCCTGCTTCTTAGCCCGAGGCTTTTTGCTGTGTGTTCACGTTATGGAAGGGGCTAGGGGAGTTCTCTGGGATCTCTTTAATAAGGACACTAATCTCATTCATGAGGGCTCTGCATCTCATGAGGTTCCACCTCTCAAAGGCTCTACCTCCTAATACCATCACCGTTGAGGGTTTGGATTTCAACACATGAATTTGGCAGGGGTAGGGGGGGAGCACAAACATTAAGACCATAACAACTACCTGTATCTCTTTTAGGTGTCTTTCTGCAGTCCATACTGTATGAACTTGAAGGTTGCCATCTTTAAGTGTGACCCAGAACAAGAGAAATCTATATGGATTTCTAACCAGGACTGGATAATAATTTACAGAGCAAAGTTATGGTACATTTCGTTAGTTACAATTTCTGTTTTCAGAAAACAGCTCTTGGCTTGCTACCAAACCCTGGTAGGTACTGGACGCCTGACCATGGATCATGAGGTGATTGGGTGACAGAACCGCCCGTGACAAAATACTTATTTCCGATGCGCTTCTCCATACATTTGAGGTGCCCAGAAACACTCCATTATTAAGTGGAAGGAAGCATCAGATACCCCGAACCAAGCAGGTCTTGTAGACACAAATGAATTGCATGAATAGGTAGCTTATATTCCCAGAAGATGTACTCCTGCCCATTACCTCTTCAATCTCCAAACGCGGATGGCCTCCTGGGCACTTTATAATATCCAGCCGACTGATGGGAACATTTTGAACCTGGATCGCAGGTAGGTCTGCCTAGCATGCTGGCACCAGCTGAAAGACAGCGGATGTAATGTTACAGCCTCACCACAGGATTTTGGTATTATGGACTTCGAATTAACATCAGATGGTGTTGATTCCATACACAGAATGTTTGTGTCCCCGCAAAAGTCATTAATTGAAACCGAAAGCCCATTATGATGGCATTTGGAGGCGGGGCCTTGGGGAAGTGATTAGGTCCTGAGGGCGGAGCCCTCATGAATGGGATCAGTGCTCTTAAAAAAGAGACTTCGGAAAGTTTCTTCACCCCTTCCACCGTGTGAGGTCCAAATGAAAAGATGGATGTCTGTGAACCAGGATGCAGACCTCGCCAGACACGAAATTCATCTGGCTCTTTGACCTTGGACTCCCCAGCCCCCGAACTGTGAGAAATGAATATTTGTTGTTTAAGACACCCAGATATATGGTATGTGGCTCTAGCAGCCCGAACGGGTTAACACATTGGTCTTCCCAAAGGCAGAAGAAAGGCAATCCTCGTCCTTGGCGGATTCCATATTTGTGCATTTGCCCACTTGCTAAGATTGACTTGCAACCGGAACATTGACACTGACAGCACTTTTGCAGACATCTGAGGAGAGGCCCAGAGTGCAGAAACATCTCGGTTGCCCTATGCACATGTTGCCAGCTGAGCAAGGCAACACTGTCCTCCTGTTTCAGTTCTCGTGCTGAACAAATGTCCTTTTCGTGACCTGAGTGGTACCACGTTTTTCACGTTCTGTGCCTTTTGTTGTGGTTTCAGTGTTTGAAACAGCCTCCACGCACAGTGCTGAAGTGCTGTCTGGTGTTCTTAAGCTCAAAAAGACTGTCATGTGCCTTAGGGAAAAAATGTGTGTGTTAAATGAGCTTTGTTCAGGCATGAGTTACGGTGCTGTGGCTGCGTGTTCAGTGTTAAGAAATCAACAATGTGGCACATCCAAAAAAAAAGAACAAGGGACTTCCATGATCTGTATCTCAGGCCACTCTGGAAAGTGCTAAGGTAGCATCTTTAGTGTGTGATGAAACTATGGGAAAGGGGCTACGTTTGTGGATTCAAAGATGCCACCTGAGGGGCGCCTGGGTGGCTCAGTCGGTTAAGTATCCGACTTCGACTCTGGTCATGATCTCACAGTTTGTGGGTTCGAGCCCCGCGTTGGGCTCTGTGCTGACAGCTCGGAGCCTGGAGCCTGCTTCACATTCTGTGGCTCCTCTCTCTCTGCCCCTCTCTGTTTCTTTCTCTCAAAAATAAATAAACATTAAAAAAAAAAAAAGATGGCAACTGGTTAAAAAAAAAAGAAGCAGCATAGTGGAAACCATTGTTGTAAGGCTGAAAAAAACAAAGAAATTTACAACCACATTGCCCAGGGTCAGAAAAATGTTACTCTTCTGGGCAAATGCTGGCTCAGGTAATCCAAACAGCAATACAGCATGAAAAATGTTAAACTTACCCAAGGTGGAGGCTCTGCAGCTCAGGAGGCTGCGGAAGAATTTTTTAAATACCTGCCGAGTGTTTTACAGGAAAAGGATTATATGCAGAAGAGCAGGTTTTCAATGCTGATGAAACTGGCTTGTTTTACAAGGATGCTGGCAAATAAACCTATAGAACAAGTGGAGTGTTGGTTGAAGCAAATGCTGTGACCAGGGGAAAACCCCGTATTTCCCCTTGGAGTTCAGTGTTGGTTAATTCAGCATTAGTGGTGACTTGACAGAAGTACCCAAACATTGGATATGGATCGGAGGAGAATCAAGAGGTGCAAATGAGAATGATACCTCCATTTTTATACTCAAGGACTCCCTCTGTATTTGTGTTACAATCTTCACGATTTGGGGTTCGAATGGGTATTTACCCGAGGGATGAATTTGTCTGCCAGGGGATGCAATGATAGTCTCTCCGATATTTTTAAGAGACTTGATCAGTCACTGCTACATGTTTGCAATGTGGTGTGGTTTTGTGTGTGTAGGTGTGTAAGGGGATGGGATAAAGAGCACGCAATGCCATCTACACTGCTGAGCACTACCATTTGTTTCTCACCTACCCTGAACTAGTTTCCATGTGCTTTGCTGTCCCGTGTCCTGTGAACCCCTGAAGTAATTGGCTCTCAAATAAACTGTTAACACTATAATGCCTACACGCTTTGAGGGTGTCCAGGAAAATTACTGTATAGAAGCTGGGTAAAATGGAGCCTTTTAGGATTCAAAACCACTTTGCTACATTTTGTTAAGTTAATCAGTCTGGTAATAAGTAGAAGGTGGCGGTTTCATTGTCTCAGGAAGTTTTCAGCTCTGGGTTCCTCAGATTGGCAGGGTTCCAGGATATATATATTTACGTACATTTTCCTCCTTGAATTTATGATGTAACTGCAGTTATACACATGAGAAAATCCTTAGCTGAAGACTAAATAGTAAAAAGTGCATAAAAAGAGATTTGGGGGGGGGGCGTTCTTCTACCCTATGCCTTATCTCCAAATACCTATAGTAATTCAAATTAATCAATCTAATATAATCCATTATAATGTGCATTTCTTCTTTCAACATCTTTTTTTTTTAAGTTTTTTTTTTTTAACTTCTTTTTAAGTAACCTTTACACCCAACGTGGGGCTCGAACTCACAACCCCAAGATCGAGAATCACGTGCTCCTCTAACTGAGCCAGCTAGGTGCCCCCTCTTTTTTCCTCATCTTTTGTTTGTTTTGTGTGCGTTGGGGGGGGGGGGGTGTTCAACTGGAATTTTGACTTCCCCAAACAAAAACAGACGAGAAAAATTTCACAGGGTCACCGAACAGTTCTTCCCCATGTTCTTCTTCTGAAAAACCAGCAGAGGGCGAACGAGATGGAAAATAAAGGAACCGGAACCCACAAGGCTGACAAGAGATGTTTCTCACATATTTGTCCCAAGTTCATGCAGAATCTAAGTGGGAAAAATGATCCCTAACTTGAGAACTTAGAAAGGAGGAAATACAGCCTTGAACACCAGTTTGACTTAACCTGGCATTTCCAAGTTATGCAAGATTTTAGTCTGTGATAGAGATTAAATCCTTTGCAATCAGGACCCATCTCATAACACAATTCCTAGAGACCAGTTTTGGTAAAGTAGCACTCAGAAAATGTACTGAGGACAGAGAATATCAACATATCTCATACTCTACTGATAGAACTCAGACTTGTAACAACCAAAACATAATTTCCCCTGGACACTTGAGTATTCACCATGTCTGTAGGCTTTAAAAGGAAGATAATCAAAAGAAGTAAAATTTACTTTATTTCACAGACCCTAGGTTCAAGATGAAGACCCATATAAGCATTATGGAAAGAAAAGATAAGAATTTCATAAATCTTGAGGTGCCTGCGTGATTCAGTTGGTTAAGCGTCCAACTCGGTTTCGGCTCAGGTCATGATCTCGTGATTCGTGAGCTCTGGTCCTGCTTCAGGTGAGCTCCACTTCTCTCTCTCTCTCTCTCTCCTTCTCTCTCTCTATCCCTTGCTCACTTGTGCCCTCTGTCTCCCTTTTTTCTCTCTCTCAAAAAAGGAAAAAGAATAATTATTACAATATACTATAATAAAAGTTACATGACTGTGGTCTCTCCCTCTCTCAAAATATCTTGTTGTACAATACTCACTCTTCTTATTGTGATGATATGAGATGATAAAATGCTTACGTGATCAGATGAAGTGAGGTGAGTGACATGGGCATAGCGACATAGCTTTAGGTCACTACTGACCTTCTGATGATACATCTGACGACATGTTAGAAAGAGGATCATCTGCTTCTGGACCGAGGTTGATCTCAGGTAACCGAAATGGCAGAAAGTGAAATTATGGATAAGGGGAGACTACTGCATATTCACTTATTAGATGGAAAATTTGTTTTTAATTATAATATCTAATTTAAGCAAAATTCTGGGGAAATGAACTGTCATGTACCATGCTGGCTAGAGTGTAAAATGGTATGACTTTTGGAGAGCAATTAGGCAAATCATAACTCTATGTGAACATCCTATATGATTCCTCATTCTCACGTCTCTCTTACAAAAACACTAGCAAAACCGTGCAAAGATACGTATGTAAGAATGCTCGTCATAGCATTCTTTGTAATAGTTAAACTTTAAAAAGAACTCAAAACCCTACTAATGACATGATTGAGTAGGTTATGGACGCAGGACGCTTGCTATGCACCAGTACGATTCTTCATGCCTTATCTGTTTCAATTCATTTAATACTTACCAAAAAACATTTTATTACAACACATTTTACAGATGAAGAAACTAAGACACGGAGAGGTGAAGTAATTTGCCCATGTTCACGTAGAACCTAAATGGTAAGAATGAGTTTCAAACCCGAGAGGTCTATGCTCCTAATCCCTGCACTCTCCTGCTTCTCTTACTGCGATCTTGTAAAAATAAGGACAGTTTGTATTAAGTAACCTAAGCTAGAGCTCCCCCTGGGAGTTATAGTCAGTTAGAATGATCTGAAAGATCAAAACTAGGCAGAAGCTAGTTTTCCATGGAACACCAATTGATTGCCTAAAAATTCTTAGGTAACGACCCTTCAGATCTGGACTTGAATCAGCCATACAGAATCACTTAGTGACCTAACAACCCCTTGAATCAGTGAATTTTATACCCAATGCTGATTCTACACCAGCTAGTTGGGGGTGTATCAACATGTAAGTGCTGAAAAATGCAAATAATATAATCCCGTTCTGATTGGGTAAACAATGCCATCCACGGAGCGTGATTCTTAAGTGGTATTGGAATTCCTTAATTAATATAAACTTGAAATGAATATCCTACATTCATCAGCAGTCTTTCCTTTCTTCCGCCATTAATGTGGCCATTGTGATGGTGCGAGTTGCCATTTTGAAAACCTCTATATTTGCTACAGCATAAAACATGACAGCTTTAGTAAGTTGACTAGTCACGGCCCATA